CCCCAGAGGACAATGGAAGTTGGGAATTGTGGTTCGACTTCATGGGAGCGAACCCAACAATGTACGAGTCGCAGAAATACGGATGCCCAACGGTAAGTTCCTCAAAAGACCGCTATCGCGTCTTTATCCTTTAGAGATTCATGCCCAGGACGACTACACCCCAACATCCAGACCCAGAAGAACGTCTTCTAGACAATCTTCCCATTCTCCCACGAGGATTCAGCCTCCACGCAAAGCTAAACGCTTAAAACCACAAATTTCGACTCACACTGCATAAACGCGCTCCAATCCACACGCGATGCGTGTGTGTAGCGTGCCCTATTTTCACATTCCCAAGTATACTCGCCCCAATCGCAAAACGCGCTCGCAAACGCGCTCCGCACGACTACGCCGATTGAGTGGTCCCGCACGGAAAGCTACAGTCCGCATATACGAAATTGCATCATGCCGACGCACGTTGGTTGTCATTTTAACATCTTCCTTTGCGATTTCTTGTATGTTGCGTTCATTTTTGTACTTTCTCTTCATTCTCACCTCCCAACAAGCCACACTCCTCAATTATCGTTGTTTTGTTTCATTTTCTTCCTCACATTGTGCCAAAAAGGCAGTGGCTTGTCTTTCGCAACTTTCACACCTCATATTCCTTCTCACATTTTCTCACACATCCTTTCACACATTCTTTCTCACATTTCCTCACTCACATATAACTTTTGCACATTGGTCAGGCAAGAAATTCTTGTTTTGTGCGCGCGTTCTCATTTTATCTACTCTTGTAGTTCATTTTGCCTCAATCTCACTTTCACACTCACTCTTTCACACGTTTTCTCACATCATTCTCCCATTATACATGTTTGACATGTTATACTGCATGCTACATGTTATAACTCATGCGCGACCTGACCAATTGACCTCACTTATTTTACACTTCATTTTTATCACACCTCATGGATCATGAGGGCCTCACGTTTCTCTCCCAATTCCTTTTCTTCCCATTTTTTCTTCCCATCTTCCTTCTCTCATTCCTTCATCACTCATGTGACACTCCATGTGTGTATACACTCACAGTACGTTGTACCCCCATTCTCATACTTCTCCTTTCAGGTAATAGCGATCGTAGCCCGACCAGCTACAAGCGTACTATGGCGATCAAAGAGAAGTCGAGACGCGGAGTGCCTGTCCCCGCAAAGGACAGTGCCTACCAGTTTCGCAGACGTCCTCGATCATATTCGAGGACGAGCTCCTCGGAGCGAGAGCGGACGCCGCCCAGGAGACAGCCGACTCCCCCAAGGATCGCGATACGAAGACCGCCGACGATCCTAGCGGCGCCGCACTTGTGGCCGCGGTCATCCGTGAGCTTTCGTCCGCGAAAGCTCCGGAACCAACGCCCGCCCCAGAGGTCGCACCCCAGGTGGACGTATCCCATCTGAGTCCGCCGGGAGAAGACCCCAACACTCGCAAGCCGACGATGATCGAACTCATCACCGCGATCGCCAAAGGGCATAATCCCAATCGTCGACTGCTACGTGAAGTTGACAGCGATACCCAGGCTCACGCTGTCCCCCAGTCATACCGACCCGCACTGAGTCTGCTCCAGCAGCTCACCACAGCTTTCAACTTTAGGCACATCTTTGACCCAGCCCATCTGGGACAACAGGATTATGTGCTCATCGATGGATACCTCCACAGCAAGATCGGGCAACGCTTCCGCAGTCTCTTCACGAAAGAGATCTTTTCCCCAGACGAGGAGGATTTCAGCGGAGCCAAGACCGAGCACCTGATGCCCCTCCTGGTCACGTACGAGTTGAAGGCACTCGACAACGCTGTTACGGAAGCCACAAAGTTTATAACTTCCACATCCCAACTGCCGTTGCCAGACACCCAGGGACTCCTAGAGAGGATCGACCGCATCTACACACTCACATACAACATCAATTATCGTCGCCATGCGGTCAACGTCCGTCTAACAGAGCTTCTCCGCCTCCACCCGGACGAGCTTCAGCAGAGGCTCGCTCTGTTAGCCCACTACGGAGTCACACCGGACGGGTTGACCCAGATCAACCTCACGTCCGCCACAATGGTTGCGGAGATGGAGAGAATCCGTCACCAATACCATGTTATCATCATGCGCAGGTTCGAAGCGCATCCCCAAGAATCGCGCCCACAGTCTGCGATAGCCACAGCTCGTCAGAGCACCCCATCGAAGCGCCCGCATTCACGCTCTCGCACACGACAGCGGCAACAGGACGACATCCAGGAAGAAGTCCTTGCTGGCATCGCCGAGTTGCCATCGTCGTCGACGGATCGACGTCGATCCCGCTCATCTAGAGCCCCCAAAAGGTCTCGTTGGGATCAGGAAGTGAGCTCCACATCGGCCGCAACACCGCCCCACGTGTCGCCCGCCCCCCAGGATGGGGCCCCAAACCCCATTTCAGGTGAGCGTCAGGTGGACGAACCGATGGAGGAGAGAGAGCGGGAGCAGAGGAGGCCGGATACACCGCCCGAGAACATCCGCTGCTACTTCTGCAAGCAGCGCCATTACTCCTCCAGTTGCCCCAACTACACTCTTTTGAGTGAGAGGATGGATCTGAATGCGAGGAGGGGCGGATGTTTCTTGTGCTGTGGCATCCATGCCGAGGAAGACTGCCCTCGCTATGGCAGGAGATGCCGGTCGTGTCGTTCTAAGGACCACGACACCTCATTCTGCTTTAAACAGCACCACTGTACCTGCGATATCCCATATGACGAATACCTCACTACCCTTGAGCAGTACAAGGCCATAGCTGACATGCGCAGGCGACAGAGAGCCAGGAGAGAGCAGAGGAGAGACGCCTCGCCCCACGATCGTCAGCCCCCAAGAAGAGATGCTTCGCCTCATGAGTAGTAGCCCCAGGTTACGTTTCCCCAACTTGCGAGTTTGTGGTGAAGCTTCGCGCTCGCCCCCTCAACTTTCGTTTCTTTATTAATGTTATTTGTTTAGATTGAGAATGAGGATCCCCCAAGTTGCGAGTTCACTGTTGCGATAGCCCCAACTACCGAGTTTTGGGTGACGAATGGAGAAGACCCCAATGGACGTGTTTCCCACTTGTCGATAGCCCCAACTGACGATTTTTGGGTACGTTTAATTTAGTTTAGCTATTTTATTCGTATCCTTTTATTTTCCTTTCCTTTTTTCTTTGATTTGGTGGTTTTTGGCGGGCCTTAAGCTCGCCCAGTTTTTTGTCGCTGACCCTATTTTAGGTTAGCCCGCAGCTGACGTGTATCTCAAGTGCCTATTTCCCAACTGTCGATTTTTGGGGGCCACGGTGGGAGACCGTGTTATTTTTGGAGTTTTTGGGATGCCCCCTTTCGCATGTGTCTCGCCCCAGGGGTCTTGTGTTGCGAGGTAAAATCTCCCCCTCGCTTTGAATTCATTCCCCAGGCGTGAAAAACCGCGCCAGTAGGCAAATTTAACATCTTTTGCCAACTCATCGTCACTTCAACGTCACCAATGTCGAGCCGCTGTCACGTCAAGCCGAACATCCACGTCAAGCCGAGTTCCATGGTCCGTTCAAGCTGTCGATGCCGCAACTGTCGAGTCAATGGTCACGTCAATGGTCACCTCAACTGCCGTTCAACGCAACTACCGTCTCCACAACTGCCGAAGAAGCCCGCCAGTATCCAGAGTAGAGCCCCCGACGACTCTTCATGCTTACCTCCGAGAACAACCGGCTGTTACCACGACAGGCTGTAGGTCCCGCGTTCCACCTAGGGATTCTTGACTCGTAGGTTTGTATGTATGTTTGACTCGTAGGGTCGTAGGTAACATGGCAGAACGGGAGCTACCTCGGACCCTTTCTTTTCTGTTGCCCGGAGTGTCGCGGATTCGCGACTTCCTTCAAAGGTCGCCGCCGCCGCCTCGCGAAGGGTCCCAAAACGCCGTCCTCGCGCTGTCCCGCCTCTCACCTCTCTCACCTGCGCAGCGTTTAAATAAGTCACGTAGTCATTCTTCGCAGCTGCCGTCACAGTGAGCGGTCGGGTTTCCAATTCGTCTCAACTATCGATCGATCCAGCGCTACCCCAACTCTCGCGTGCTTCCATCTACGCCACAGAGGACTGGCTCCCACGCTACGAGGTAACCCCGAGCGCGATCGCACCTGGCACACGCCGGCGACACCGCCTCGGGGGGTTTCCGTTATTGCCGGCCCCTAGGTAACATCTGGCTGGTTGTTGCTCATCCTGTGTGTTTGAGTGTAGGGATTTTATTGCGGATAAATGGTGGGCACTTTGCAGGTGTGATGTGTAGTGGAGCGGTGGCCACAGCACGACTGTGGCTCCGTTTATATTTCTGTCATTTGTGGTTATGTGTATTGCGTAATCATGCCTAGAGGGTAAGATTCGTAGGAAGGCTGGCACAATACTAGTTAAGTGCCACGGTTATGCATACGCGCCCCAATGGCCGATGGCTGGAGGCAGCCACGTCGCAGGTGTCGAGTCGCTACTAAGCAGGCTGGTGGCAAGGGCCCCTAAGATCGTAAGGAGTACCCACGTGGCAGGCACAACGAGCGTCTCACAGGTAGCCACCACACATTGTATGGTTCACTTATTCACGGTGCGGACCCCTGGCTCCCCTCGCCGATGCAGGAGAGCAATTATACCACTGACGTTGGGAGCTGGGGGCCCAATCCGCGACACTTATCAGTACAGATAAGGCGCTCAATGGTCAAGGCATCGTCAAATAACATGACCTCACTGGAGCTCATTTTGTACTTGTATCCGTTGATACTTCTTCTTCATAGTTTTCTAGATTAGCATGCAGATCTTTAGAGAATTAGAAACATTTGATTGATCAAGGGAATGTGAGGGTAGTGAAAGTTCACTGTGAAGTCCCATTTCATAGCTTTTTTTACATTGTACTTCTGACTTTCATAGATGCAATCTATTGTGACTGTCAAACATCTCCAAAATGCCATAAGTCTCTATTGAAAAATGTGATAACTACATATTAGTTAACTTTACTTGAAGGAAGTGCGCTCTAATCAGCACGTCGCGCGTTGCGTAACCAGTTGAGAATTTTCGTTATTTGAAAATGAAAATTCACTCGTAGATTATTGTGTAGAAATAGATCATGTTTTTTGAAAAATACGTCGAGTTATTATTTCTAGGATGTCATCTGATGATGATGGCTGCTTTGGGTGTTATTTACTGGCAGCGACAGGACTTTTTGGGCTTTTGGCGCTCCTCGTAGTGCTTTCCTCTCGTATTCGATTCTACGTAAAAATGGTTGCCTACGTTTCTTGCATTGTGTTTGCTGGGACCATTGGAGGTATCATTAGCATTCCATTTGGGAGAACTACCAACAATCACTTGTGGGTTTCGTCATAGATATTCAAAAGGTTTTCATTTTGACCATACAGTCTTACATATGCTTTTTCAGTCGTATGTTTGCCATCTTTCAATGGTTTTGCTCTTTCCTGAGGTTGAAATTCACTCTAAGGAATAAACAGAATCTGGAGAGCGATGAACCCTTTATCATTATTGCTAACCATCAAAGTGCTTTGGACGTGCTCGGTACGTTTAGGACCGCTTGTTTTTGTTTAGAGGTCATTAGAAGTACATCACATATATAAACTGAAAGCTCAGTATATAGATACAAAATCGTGATTGACTCTGCATTGCACATTGAAATTCGTTATTTGAGCTGCATATAGAAAAATTTAGGTATGTCTTATTGCTGGCCCAAGAACTGTGTTGTTATGGCGAAAAGCAGTCTGAAGTTCCTACCTGGATTCAATCTTTGCGCTTATATGTGTAATTCTATATGGATCGATCGCTTCAGCAAAGAAAAGGCGCATAAAGCTGTTGATAAGACTTTGGAGGCTATCAAGAACTATAAGGTGAGCCATATAATCATTATCATCCTCTATATAATTGCTGAGTATTTTAGAGAAAAGTCTGGATTTATCCGGAGGGTACTCGAAATTCCGGGAAAACATTTCTGCCTTTCAAGAAAGGTGCTTTCATTCTTGCGCTTGAGGCTAAGGTATGTACAAGTTTTACTCTTCCGATCTGCCTTCAAGATTGTTTTTACAGGTTCCTGTGGTTTGCTGCGTCTTTTCTTCACATAGCTTCTTTTATGATGCTGTGAGTTTATATATATTATGATAACGATTATAATTTTTTCCTATGCAATTGCATTTGCTTTACTTTTGTTCCGTCTTTGATTTCACAACATCAAACTTTAACATGTATGCAAGCCGGGGCTTGGAAATTGCTTTTCACTTTTCTTATCCCGCCTCAAGAATCTCTTGGGAAAGTGCCTTTGATGTCGTTTTCTTGTCCAGCTTATGTTGGAATTGTGGTATTTCAGGCTGAGCAAAGGCTAGACCCTGGAGAATGTATCGCAGAAATTTTACCTCCCGTGGATCCATCGGGCTTCGAAAGCGTTGACGACCTTAGCAATCACTGTCGCAATCTGATGATGGCTAAACATGAGGAGCTCAATAAAGAAATCCGACAGAATATATCTAAGAAGACAAATTGAAGGTACTTACTTTTTATGTATAGCTGTAATTTCAAAATGCTCAACGTGTCAAGTATTTTAACTTGCCCAACTTTTGAATTGCCATTAATGGATTCATGATCTGTGCCTGTCTGTACTGATGCGCTCACCCCGTGTGGTTACTCTAGTTTATCTTATAGCTTCTCATTTCAAATCAGGTTCTGTCTGTTGAATGGATTTTGTTGACTCTCACTACTTTTTTGTTGCTTGTCTTGTAAGATATTCCTAATAAAAATCAGTTGTTAGTTGGATCAACAACATTATGGCTGTGCCATCATTACTTGCCGTCGTGCTCAGAAACAGTGTAGACCATTATCCACAATGATTTTAGCTATGGATCAGGAAAGCAATGATCAAGACTCGGAAGATGCTGACAAGGCGACAGGTTCTCTTTCAGACATAATATTCAATATATGGTAGTAAGGTTTCTTAGAGTTTAATCTAAATAAGTTATAACTTATCAGCTTACTTCTAGTGTAAAAATTTTTGGTCATAGTAAAGTCCTCCTACCGGCTTATTTTACCTATCGGTAGTGCAGATTGCGTCAATTCAGTGTTGCTGGCACGAAACTCTGAAAATGGCATAGTTAGCTACTCGACTTCGTACTTTTATTATTTTATCTTATGAAGAATGAAAGTTCGTGTCTGTTGTTCTCAAAGAATTGATAGAGATTTGAGTAAATATTGACTCGGTAACCTAGCCACATTACGACAATCGTGTTTCCAGAAGCTAACTCTAACGAACCTACTTCAAAAGATGATGAACTTGCCATCGCTGGCGTATCCACACATGATCTGGCCGAGCTTGAGAAGAATGTGTGTCCAACTCAGAAAAAGCTCGTAAAGGCTTCCTGATATTCTTTTTCAAGGTTATCGAAGACATTCTTGGGGAAGGTGCGGATGCATCAGGTTTCGACCTCTTTAGAGGTCCGGAAACTTCTGACAATAGCCGCTTCACTCCGAGTCCATCAACCTCTGGTGTGTTGAAGTTCACGAGTTCTAGAGCGCTTTCCTTGGTGACAGTTCACTACTGTTACCAGTTTAGCGGACAAATCCGGTCTCTGTAGCAGAGCTAGTGATGAAGAATATGTTCCTGGTGAAGGTGACACTATTACTGAAGCAAGTTCATCTGGAGTTGAAGAAAGGTACTCGAAGTTCTCATCATAGCGAAGAAAGCTTCAATTGCATTTTCGTTCTGTATATTCAGCACTGAAGAAAGCAACGATGCTCCAAGAGTGAAGCGTCGTCGACTTGCGAAACCGAAAAAGTTACTGAAACTTTGTGTTGATGACAGCAACGATAAGGATTTTGAGGAGCGATTGAGGTACCGCGGTTATTATATTAGTTTAGCGAAATGCATGCTGCTTTCAGTAATACTGTATCCACCGAAGGCAATGATGAATCTGATTTCAAGGAATTGACTGATACCATAAAGATTCACAGACAAGTTTGGGATCGTTTATATAAGTGAGTTTGATCAGCTACTTCCGTTTTATACTGAATTAGGTGCGTGAATACCAGAGTTTTCCCTAGGTACCAGAAAAAAGGTGTAGTGTGGCTTTGCGGTTTGCATGAACAGTATGTTGGAGGTATATTAGCTGATGAAATGGGTCTCGGAAAAACTATACAGGTAATATCATGCGCTAATTTATCTTCACATAAGACCTTTTCAAGGTGATTGCCTTTCTTCGAGCTTTGGATGAGTCGCAGAGGCAAGACAATTATATGAAGTATGTCTGTTTCATCTGTTTTTGATACATATGACTGATTACAATATTTTTACTGCTATAGTTTCAAAGGACTTGGCCCATGCTTGATCATATGTCCTTCAACTCTCCTAAAGCAGTGGGTTAGCGAGTTTCATCAATGGATGCCTAGATGTAGGGTGCGTCTCAGTTCTGGTTGCTAGTAATCCAGAGTTCGGCAAAGTATGTTCAGGTAGCCGTTTTTCATGGCTCCGGTAATTTCAAAGGTCCTAAACGAACACTTATTAGGAAAATGGCTGTCAATAGAAGGTCTGAAACAAGGTAGATGTGCAACCGTTATGACATGATTTTTTTTTCTAGAGGAGGGTCCGTCTTGGTGACTACATACTCAACTTTCCAAAAGTATAGCGAGCTGCTGCTGCCAGTGGCATGGCATTATGTTGTGCTAGATGAGGGACACAAAATTCGAAATCCTAAAGCTCAGGTGTGTATATGCCTTTTATACGTAACATGAAGTTCAGTACCATCCTCTATTTAGATATCGCAGAGCGTGAAGCAATTGCACACTCCTTGTCGAATTATTCTTAGTGGGACTCCTCTGCAGAACTCTCTTCCAGAAATTTGGTAAGTTAATTGCATTGAATTATCTGGAAATCTGTAGAATCTCTGTTTTGAGGTCTTTGATGGATTTTGTCTACAGTGGCAAGCTCAATAGTTTAGAAACATTCACGGAAAGATTTGCTTTGCCCATTACACAGGGTGGTTATGCGAATGCAACAAAGCAGCAACTTCTTACTGCTTATAAGTGCGCTGTAATCTTGAGGTAAGTGAGGCGTCTTCATTCTTCAGATTTTATAACTTCCGAATTTAGGGATGCGATCAGCCCATACATCCTTCGCCGACTCAAAAAAGATGTCAAGAAATCGCTTGATTTGCCGGATAAAAATGAGAAAGTAAGGATTGCTATATGGTTTTCATTGTTTATAGCAAAATTGTACATGTACCTACATCTTTCTTCAACAGCACTGCATTATCAGTCTTTAAGACTCGTAAACTCGTTCATTTTCATCACTTAGTAATATCAGGTTTTATTCTGCGAGCTATCATCCGAGCAACGGAAGCTCTACCGAGACTACCTGTGCTCGCGTGAATGCCGCAATATACTCAAAGGACGGTTGGATGCCTTTGTGGGACTAACATTACTCCGGAAACTTTGCAATCACCCTGATCTAGTCACAGGAGGACCGAACCGTCATGGTACGTCTGTCATGTAGTACAAACTGAGATTTCCAGCACAATTTGGTTTTCATAGGTGAATATGATGTCAATGAGGATCCCACTATGGCCTTTGGTTATCCGGATCGAAGTGGTAAAATGCGTGTCTTGCTTCAGCTATTGGATATATGGAAGAAACAAGTAAGATATGCTCATTACCAATCCATCCTTTCGCATTTTGCTTCCAGGGTGGCGAAAAAGTGCTCGTCTTCAGTCAAAGTCGTGAAATGCTGAACATTCTTGAAAGAAGGCTGTTAGAGACTGGGTAGTATCTGAACTTGTTTATTGCTTCCTTTCATTCCATTTTGTTAAGCTTCACATACCTTCGCATGGATGGCAGTACAAACATTGGAAGCCGACAGAAGAGAGTTCAGCAATTTAATCAAGACCCAGAAATATTTATTTTCCTGCTCACAACCCGTGTGGGTGGGCTAGGAATCAATTTAACTGCTGCTAACAAGGCAAGACAAATGGATCATATCTTTTCTTGCTTCCAGTTACTGTATTTAGGTTGTGATCTTTGATCCTGACTGGAACCCTTCAACAGATACTCAGGCAAAGGAGCGTTCTTGGCGCATAGGTCAAGATCGCACTGTTACTGTTTACAGGTTGCTTTGTGCGGGTACGATTGAAGAAAAAGTTTATCATAGGTGATTGTTATTGTTCATTTCGTCAGTGTCTCGCTTCTGAAGGTATCATGTGTTCAGGCAAATTTTCAAGCAATTTCTTGCAAATCGCATTCTCAAAGACCCGAAGCAACGTCAGTTTTTTAAGACAACCGACCTACATGATTTGTTTTCCCTTTCTGAAGTCTCTGTAAGTCTAATAATTTGTGTGTCTGGACATCCTTTCCTAACGTTCATTTACTTCAGAAAGAAGCCCCTACGGAAACTGGCACCCTTTTCGCATCGGAAACTGACGAAATCCGTAGGAACAACTTCTTTGATGAGAATGATCGCAAGTACGTCCATTCCTGAAAAGGTCTCGTTACATTCCTTCCATTCAGGAAGCACAGAAAGAAGAAGAAGGAAGGTGATGAAAGTACCGACGAAGATGATGAGGCAGCTCCCGTAATCAGTGAAGAGAAGAAGGCGGAATTGCGAGAGCGAGCAAAGCGTCTGGCCAAGTAGGTGTCACTTCATCATTTAATTTTTGTCTCAAGCTTCTGTATGTTTGTAGTCCATTCTTTTTTTTTTTGTTTTTTCATGACTGATTTTAGGATTCTGAGCATGTCTGCTGGCGGTAGTAAAGACGCTGTAGATACGGGAACTGTGAGTGAGAAGCCAGTAAAGGAAGAGCCAACCCCGCAGCCACAGTCTGGTAGTCCTCCTATACAGGACTCAACCTCAGATAGTCGTCATCGCTCCGTAAAAGTTAAGAAGGAAAAGAAACACAAGAGACATCATGAAGAAAAATCGGATGGCAAAGGCAATGATGATTTTGTGCTTAATTGTCTGCTGAAGTCGGCTGGAGTCCGTTGTGCTATAAAACATGATGATCTGGTGGAGGACAAACCTTCAGATTATTTGATTGAAAAGGAAGCTTCCGCTGCTGCCAACAATGCAGCCAAAGCGATTGGAAAAAGGTGTGTGTCTGCTATTTTTTTATAAAATCACGTTTTTTTTACTTTGTTTCCATTATCTTTGAGTATAGGCTCCGTTAGAAAGTTTCCAATACATTTTGAGGCGCACATTGAGTCTGCGGACCATTAAATGATTACTTGATTCCAACTTAGAGCTTCATTACGGTACCGCCTTCATTTCTTATGCGCTATCAGATACTAGATCAAGATCTCAGCTGGACTATAGTTCTTTGAGCATACATGTGTTTCTAGTGCTCGCTTTCATAGTTTATTCGTTCAGGTCCAATAGATCTTTTGTTCGCGAATTTCGAGCACTATTTCCTTTGTCATCGACTGCTTCTTCATCTTCGACAACGGCCACGGAACATGCCCCTTTTTCTGGAGAAGATATCAAAGATAGTCTTTTTGCTGCCATTCATGCAAGGAAACGCAGAGCGAATGAAGGCAAAGCATCGGTAAGTGTATAATTAGAGCAGAGTATCCCTGTTTAATATTCATACACTAATTTAGGCAGTACTCGTCAAAGACAAGTACGTGACTATGGCTGAAAAAATACGTGATTTCCTTGTTAGCTGTGGTGGAAGAGCATACACCGAGATGATCTTTGAAAAATTCAAGGCACCCTTTTAAATTTGTTCACTGAGTATTAGGCAAATTTAAATCAGTGAGCCATTCAGGACGAATACAAAGAAGAAATGCCGGAGCTTCGAGCGATACTGAGAAAATTATGCAATTTTGATCATCTCAAGAGAGAGTGGTATGTTAAGAGCGAGTACGCTTGAACATCATGGTTTGGATCGTTGGAACTTTGTTTTTTATATGTATGTTTTGTACATGAGGATGTTGTTGTTTTTTGTTTGATGGACATACACTTTTTATGCACTAACACCTAATATTTTCAAGTTTCTGCGATAATCTGATCTCTCCCATTTGGAGACCAAAAAGATCCGAGTTTTGCAGAAACCAGCAAAGGCTCATATCTCTGTTTATCTCATACAAGTTCTACCTGTTTATCTGCTTTCTTCCAAGTGTTTTGGTCCCGTTATTTATTGTTTTCATGACCTACTCATTCATTGTGAAGTTTTATCGAGTTGCTAAACAAAAATTCATGTTCACTTACGCTGAAGATTCCTTTACCAAATGCTTTCTATCTTATAATATGTACATAGAGAAGAGCTTATTCTTATAATATTTAGTCTAGCTTTATACTGTCACGGTTACTGGTTGATTTGTATGAGTTGTAAAAAAATTCTTAGAGGTGACTGCCGCCGTTTTGATAAATCAAGTAGTGTTTCATTTTCAATTGTATACATCAAACTGCGAACTTATTACTCACTATATTGGGATAAAATAAGTTAAATCGTATGGCGTCTATTTCGTCATTGTGATCAACGTATGAGGCTTTTCTTGAACTGATTATGACGTTGTAGCTCTTCTTTCGAGGGGTGTATTCCTAAAGGTAACGGAGGGAGGACTGAAACTCCTCTTGATCTGGCGGCTATAAATCGGGCAGAGATCGGAAACTCCACTAGTCCGATGGATTTCCTAAAAGAAAACTAATTTGCTGGGAATTCAGAGAATTCTTAGAAAATTACCGATCTTTCCATCGTTTTGCACTTGTCTTATCATTCGATTTGTCAGTAGTTGCAGACTTCTAAATGATTAAAATCGATGGCTAGAGTGGGTATAAGCGAGTAAGAGTACATGAGATTTGTTGATAATTCTGGATAACGGCTGAAGAGGAGGAAGATATGGGAATGTGCTGGCGATATTACGATCAATAAGTATCCTAAATATGTCCTGAAATTGTATCAAAAAAGCGCAAGGAAATGAAAATGTGCAATCTCACCTTGAAACATCACTAGCGCGCGGAGGTGGTGCGGGAGGTTGGGAAGAGTCTGGAGTCAATACAAGAGATCAAGAAGGAAAATTTGTGAAAAGCATATAAAATACTTCATTGCACACAGATAATATCGGTGAGGCATCATCTAGGCAAATCTGGGTACCGGGCTTTTATGGAACTAATAATAAAACTAATAAAGTTGTGCCCCATTTCAAATGAATCATTCTCAATTGCCAAATTCTGCTTTAAAATCTCGCCCAGATTGTAAATCCTTCCACGCGTGCTAATGAGGCATGCGCTGTGATTGGTCCGCTCACAAAGATTACGGTATCCGGAAAGAAGCATAAATGCTGATTTGTCTATCTCCATAGTCGCTGTTGGTGCCAGCGCGTAATTTTTACCTTTCTCACAAGGGAACGATACTCGCTGTCCGTGGCCTTTTGAGATAGATGTACACCATTACATTCCTCTTGGAACGCTGATTCCGAATCTTACTTCCGTTTCCGCTAATCGCTTCAAAGATGTTATCATGAATCGCGCGGAGTTTGGCTGCCCAGTGAAATATTGTCGGAGCGCCAATACCACTAGTGCGATAGCGACATGAGTTGATGCTGGTGTAGGTTCGAGTCCTTTTGTCTTTCTCAGTTTTGCGTTGCCTTAATTAACCTTCTTTCGCATCCTCAAGCTAAGTGAACGCCCTTACTCTTCAAAAAATGTGGAATTTTGGAAAACAATGACTACTGTCTGCGCTAAAATGCAACCAATGGTCATAATTCGAGTCAACTTTCTCGAACAAGCTTAATTGAGGCAGTGCAAAAGTATAAACACGAAAGATTTGAACCTGAACCTGCATCAACTGGCCATCGCACAAGCCATTAGACCGGAAGAGGTCGCGGTACCGTTCCAATGACCATATTTCCCTTAAGCGGCCAAACTTGGGTCGAAAGTTCTCCATAACTTCTTTCAGAAAAACCATTAGCAGAAACGGAAGTCAGATTCGGAATCAGCGTCCGAAGATGAGTGTAATGATATACATCCGTCTCAAAGCCACGGACATTGAGTATCGTTTCCTTGTCGGTGAATCTTCCAGATGCGCTGTACATCATTTTTGAGGGAAAAGGAGAACACTTGTATACAAAAAATAATCTTCTGCTCTGTAAATCGAGCCCGCAGATCAAAGGCAGCGTCCCGGCAAAATTTCGCTGTCCAGTTTTCACCTATTCGGCCTTCTCGCCATGAGAAGCCCATGTCTGGGCTTTCCAGTGCATGAAAATGGCAAAAATGAGCCTTTTTTGAAGCCCTCCAGGTTTGCATCCAATGAAGCTACGCCGAAAGTCTTCCTCGCCCGCCTCCCTCGTTCCGGACCCCGTCCACTTACATGTATTTTTCACTGGTCGCGGACCTTGGAAGCTGCGGAAAAAGCTCATTTTCGCCATTTTCATGTGCTGAAAAGCCCAAATATGGATTGCTCATGGCGAGAAGGCTCCGAAAAGGTGAAAAACTGCAAAACGAAATTTTGCCGGGACACTGCCTTTGAAGTCCATTCGACCTTCATTTCCTAGTTTCGGTCACCATCTTGTTCATCTTCTTGGAATTTATAATAGCCAGCGTCAGGTTGGTCATTCAGTTTCGATTTAAAGTGCAGGTTATGAGATAATGCCACATCTGTCAACTGCCGACTAGGGATGAAATCATTTTTTATGGGATTTTGCTTTTACTTCATACGCTTTCACCAGGATTGTGCCTACTAAAAAGCCTATCTATGTCCAAGTTGTAATGTGTTTTTCTCTAGTGCAGTTTTCGAGTTCCCTCTGCACTAACGAACGTCTTTTGTGGTCTAAAAATAATCATTGCAACGCAACTGCTATGTGCTCTCTCATGCATTTCTTATTTTTGCTTATAGACTCAATTCAAAAACAACTCAGGTTCAATTACCCAAGTTTGAGGTTCAAGGCCAAGCCAACTACGTATTGAGAAAAGATGTTAAGGTCAGTCTCCTTTTTATTTTTATGTTTGTCCTTTTTCTTTTGGTGCTTGCGACCTTCCTTCACTTCTTTTCCCAGGGAAGGTCGTATTTCTATCCTTTTTCCGTCTAATAAAAGGAATGAAACGGAAAATGGATGTGATTTGAGATTTTCTTTTCTTTTTTCATGCAGTGCTGTTCCGTGCAGTTACTGCTGTGCACGGTGCTCGTTACCTGATGGCGTCAAACTCCTCGAAATAATGACAGTGCTCAATGTTGGATCGTCTTCTTCTAATATACCGCTTGTTAACTCCTAGATTTAGTGGATTCATCCGATTTTCAAAACTATGTAAATGCATGAATTTATATATTACAATATTAATATATACAACCTCAATATAAAACAGTGAAATTGCTCGAATAGATCTGCGATAAGTATTACAGTACCCTTGAGAGCCTTGCACTGTGGTTATCTTCTAGAACTGTGCTAACTGTTTCATCTCCTTCAACTGGAGGTCCAACAGCTGCTACACGTTTAAACCTCCTTAGAAATTGTCCGGCGCCTAAATTTGAATGATAGTGACAGTTGTTTTTTTTTTCCAAAAGGTTGAATGTTGTCCTACCTAAGAGTTGAGATCCTTTGTAATCCGGATCTGCTTCGCAAAATCCTGATCGTCCCATATCTTGTCGTGTACCAGGACGACAGTTACATCGTCCTAAATCGCAGTATTGCACTGCTTCTGGACAATCGTCGTCGACGTCACAAGCTGTGTATATGAATTGTTAATCACTTGATAATTAGACAATTTATTGACTTACATAGTGCTTGCCATAAACATTGACAGTCCTGGCAACCTCTTTCGTTGATGTATACGAAACAGTTTTTAGCGCATAGTCCTGGTTCGGGGCACCCTGAAATTATTTTGGAAATCATATTTTTTAGACCTCACTGCTTCCTGAGAATTTGTTAAGACTACGAAGGTCTTGTAATTGAGTATAAGGCTGCGTCCAGAGTTGTTCGTGCCAGCGCCAACGTGCACGCGCCCCGCCCACTGCTGGCACGGGCACCACACTTGACGCAACCTAAGCATCCATGTGAGCATGTACCTTCAACGGCTCCTCGTCGTGGTGGTGCACGATGTGCTGGAGGACCAATAAGCATTGTCTTTTCGGCGATCGCTTTGATGCCAGCATCCCTATTCAATTTCTTATTTTTTGCTAGTGAACGAGAAGTGGTAACTTTCTTCAACTCTGATACTTTCAGCGTACGCCCGACGTCTACGCTCTGTCTTGCAGCACTATCAGAAAAATCCTGTAACTGCTTCTGGCTCATATTTTCGGTCATAGTCTGACTTGGCATATCTTCATAGCCATTTGTTTGGGGACTCGGCATATCGTAGCTCGAGCCCATTGATCCCCCGAAATAGCTCTCCGGTGGTGGTGTCGGTCCTACCATGTCGAAGACCGCACCGTAATCTACCGTACTTGGAGGTGGCGCCTCTTCAGCTGCGTTCGTCGCTACCGTTTCCGGTGGCGAATTGACTTCCGCAATAGCCAGTACAGCTCCCTGAGCCGGTTTACTGTAGTCATTATCTGGTGGTACACTGCTTTGCATGGCATCATACATACTGTTGAGTAGATTCGCTGCTGTTCGCAGAAATGGTGTTTCCTCTTCTGTCAGAGACAATAATGTTGTTGTTTCTTCCATATTTGGGGGATCATAGTTGACTCCAGGGAAACTGGTTGTGGTACGAGTTCTGATCGGGCTGCTGTGAAACGTGTCAGATGTTGTTTCATTCTCCATCTGGATATGTTCTTGCGGTTCAAGTTCAAGAAGTGTTGGTCGACGTTCATCGAAATGTTGCCCTACTTCACCGGACACTTTTTCAACGTTTCCAGTCAGTTCCTCTTGTCCAGAACCTTCTGCAGTATCTTTATCTTCTGCAGCATCTTTCTCCAATCTGTTATTCGGCCTATTCTCTCCCGAAGATTCCTCTTGCTCCATTGGGAGTTCCTAAAAGAGAGCTGGTCCTCGAGGGCAATTTTGATACAGTTCTCACCAACCTTGCCGCCGAAAGATTCAACAGCACTGTCACTAGGTGGTAGCACTCTTTCTAATGTTGGAGGTGGTGTGGAATGAATATCTCTTTGAGCAGCTGTGCTCACTAGAAAAAAACAACTTTTTTGTGGTTTTTGAAAGAATTGTTGAAATAAATTTATTCAACGTCTCAAAAAAACTTATGTCAGCTCTTAGCTCAACAATTTCTTGAGAAAGTTGCGCAGTAATGTTGAATCAATTCGTATTGTGTATAATTTCAATGAAATCTTTGTTTGTTTAAAGAAAGTGCAATCACGTATGATATGGAAATGCATAACGAGTTCGGAAGCCAGTACGAGTGAAAGCATCTTGCGTGGAAAACGTTTCTCTGTACAATAAATGAAAGCCTTTTCCAAAGTTTTTCTCTTAGAGAAGCAAGAACATGTCATTATTAGGTCTGTAAGGAATTTTTCGGAATTATCATACTAAAATTGCTATTTCTCAGGGTTCAGTGCATCTACAAAAGCGGAAATTTTATTCTCGCATGTATGTGCTTACATTCAAGCAGGTGGAAAGAGTGCTCAACCGGGGCGGAATTTGACATTTATTAATTACTTGGCTTTTCTTGCCATTTAAGCGCAAATTTTATTATTCTATGCATAAACCGCACATGTGGGAATGTTATAGCTTTTCGGAAAATAAAGATCTGAGCTTGGTTAAAATCTATGTATTCGAATTTCCCTCTACTTTTACAGGAAGCATTGATTACGCTTGTGCTCAATATGATCTTGTAAAGCTTGCTTTCCTTCAACGGTTTGTTAGATGCCCCAACTTTACCCTCATCGAAGCAATAACTTTTTAAATGCAATGTCCGAACACTTTCTTATCAACCTAATAATGGAGCTATATGGCGAAAACGTGATTATATTGATAGTATCTAAACGCTTTGAATGATCTACTTACGTCTTGAGAAATCCTTTATTCTGAACTCCGGACTCTCTTCTATGCCCGGAGGCTGTGGTTCGAATCCTGGAGGTTTGGCTGAGGCAATAATTGATGCGTCATCTGCAGAATTTTGATTTGTCTAAAAGTTCCCGACGAGATTCAACTTACTTTTCACTGCTCTTAAAGCTGCTCGTGCTTCTTCGAAATCAGTATCTGGTGCCATTGGAAAAACTTGGCCTGTTTCTTCATTGGAAAATATACCTGCCTGAAACTGCAAAAAAATCAAAAAGGGCAAGGATTGTTCGATATGGTATACCGTACCTCTGCGGAGAATGGAGCTTTTTCAGTTGTTGTAAAATCGTTTGAAAAGTCTAATGCAGCAGTAGTACGAATAAACGAAAACAAAAATATGTGTATCATCTGCAAAACTAAAATTTTCGAAAGCCAAAGCGAACAAGAAGCAGCACTATAAATGAGATCCAAGCAAACTGAAGTGGCTCGACGAGCGAGGTCTCAGAGAGTCAAGACTGTTCACGCACTTCAGCCATCAAAAGTGGATTTGATCAAGGTGTTTTGGATATTGCAAATTCTTGTTCTACGATGTTCTGTAAGCCAGTCGTCAAAGAGAGAAACGACATCTTATGTAGAATTCACTCTAGACGAAGATTTGCTCGAATGAAACATTGCGCAAAGTTTTCGAGAATACTGGCGTTGAGACGTATGACAATGAGACTACGTTATAGAAGTGGGTTACTGGGCCTAGCATTTATGGCGGTCATGGGTATGGGAACGGTAATGTTATACGAGGAGGTCGCTGCCAGAAAAATAACATAAGTGTGGTTCGTTAAGTCAGCCTACTTGTTTAGAGAATTGTTTGCGATACAGGTGTTGGGGGAGGGAGAGAAAAAGAAAGAAGCTTTGTGTCTTTGTGTATGATTAAGGCCTTCGTTATATTTTGTTTGTCCTCTCAATTTTATTAGCGGCTCCTCTTAAATGGCCCTTTGCCGTACAAAAATTTCAGCGTCATTTCAAATTTTTACAGTTTCTTAGTCTCGCCCTGCGCAAATACACATTCAAAATGTAGTAGGATTTGAATTTTGAAGGTGATATCGACTCTACATTGTGAGATTTCACACCGCAAGAATATCCCAGACGCAGCTATTTTCCTTAGATCACGGAAAGTTTGACACTTTTTATTCGCTCCTCTTGAAACGAAAAAAAAATCAGAAACCAAGGGTGCACATAGCCAAAATGAAGTTGCAAAAAATTTTTGCCTTTAGAGATATTTTTTATCTCCCTGAAGAGATATTTTTTATCTCCTTGAAGCCTTGGACAGCTGGTATCATGTTTTGTTAGATGTGTTTGAGTTTCTTTTTTCCTTGTTTGGTGCACCCTGAGTGTATTAGTAAAAATAACATAAAATGAAAGCACCATAAAAGAATGTGTACAAGTAATGTGTGACGAAGAAGGCTCTTTTAGACTAGAGTAAATAATACGAATGAAAACATATTTCAAAGGAATAAAAGTGGACTAAATGACAAATTAAACATAAAAACATGAAATTTGAAACATGAAAAAATCAGCTTTAGCCGATCACAGCTAATCATGAACATCTTACGTATTGAGCTGCTATATGTTTTGCCTCATCGGAACCTCAACCCCTATTCTCAGGCCAAAGAGAGTGAAATGGCTGCATCTTCGCAATAAGTGAACGCCCTTTATAGCCTTCAGAATGGTAGTTGATGCTTTCGATCGAAGCAGTTGTATTAAACGACTACTTCAGTCGTTCAAATAAAGTTTAGTCAAGTGACCGGAATCAGGATTTCGGAAGTGGAGGTGGCACACAGTCAAAATGCGCTTTTAAACAACCAGAGGACAGCACTCGACGAACAAGTAGTGGAGGACATCGCGAAACTAGACAGTCGCCCTTCGGAAATCCTCCCGTCGTCGTCGTCGTCGTACAACGGCCGGCAAAACCCCTTGTCGGCTTCTCGTTTTAGACCTCCAGTCCCCAAGATACTTTTGGTTTAGATAGGGGCTCATTACTTTTTTGATTAATTAGTGACTTTCACAAATCTGGACGGGCACAGCGTTGAAGTTATGCGAATATTCAGTTGCTTGCGACATTCCTTTCTGGTAGAAAGAAGTACTGAGAAGGAGCCAACAATAGTTAACATGTTTCGGACTTGTGCTGCACATGGTACATCACGTAACTTAAAATATTCCCTAGTCACTCGCCTAAGGTAAAAATTCCCTGAGTTTATCATAAGGGTTGACGCTGGGAACGATTGAACAATTTTTCGGACTTGTGCTGCACATGGTGCATCACGTAATGTATAACTTTACTTAGGTCGTCCATTGAGACAGAAATAGGCCCGCGTTTACTAGGATGTTGAATGAACTTCCTCTAGGTCGCTTGCTCATTAAGATGAAAATATCGGGTTTGAAAGGTTAATATTGGAATGAACTGATTATTGTTAGCATGTTAGCATACGTGCTGCACATGGTGCATCACGTACATGTAAAACATAAGAACAATCCCCAGGCAAAAATTCAAAAACAAATACTCTTAGAGCATAGAGTGTGGAGGTTATTTGACTTGTCAGTTACAAATGGCGTGCTCACTTCACAAAATAACGCCCTATAGCCAAAAAAGTAAACGATTTACCGTGCGCGAATCGCGGTCCGGAACTTCAAAAGTATACTGAAGAACGGTTCAAATGAAATGTAGGTGACTGAGACTTATATATCAAACGGAGGTAATTTATTCTAGTAATTTACGAGCACCAGCGCAAACTATGAGTTAGTAGAAGGGTATCCAGAATGGGGCTTCTAGGTAGCAACTAGCCTTCAGTGACGAAGGGTCGGAGGAGTCAGGAAAGTTTACAGGTAATATAATAACTTTTCCATACAGTTGGTAATTAAGGCATACAATAAACTTCTGAAGAAAGTCATTGTTAGAGGTGAGAGCACTAGCTTCGGTGAAACCGAAGTTCCACGTTTTGATTGAAGCTGATGACTTCGCTTACGATTACGGCTAATTTCATACCACTCAAGAAAGCAAAAAGTGCGTAGCTTCTTGATTGCAACTTTTCCAAAACTATCAATTATTCAGTACGAAGGGGACTATTTTGAGTTCTTTCTACGGCAAAAACTAATTTAGCCATGAGCTTAAGTGAAGTGGTTTTCATAAAGTTGAGTAAAAACACCATACTATGCAGAAACTATGAAAAATCTTCCAATGGGGTGGACTCACAACAAATCTTAACTTTTTAGCGAGTATAGTATATGAAAATTACGGCGAAATATGGATTCAAACCATGAGGAATTGGAAGAGAATGATCAAGCAATGAAACTTCATAAAGCCTCGCTAACATTAGCGAATCGAACAACTAGGGCATACTGGCAGTTGGGCTATGACTGTCGATGAGAGGCCTTGCTTAGAAAACATCAAAAACATATATAAGTGCTTCGCAAACGTTCAAACATAGCCTTAAACACCCCAATCTGCTTTATTTTTGTCACTTACGTGATGTAATGAGTTACGTGAAAGTATTCGAACTTCCATAAACGTCTAGATAATTTTCGGTCGTTCTTAGTGCAAATAAAATACCCTCTTTAACTTCTTAGAGTTTGAAAAGAAAGTAGTTGTATGGAACATTTTGCTGATTCCTTTAAATGTCATTTTTCCAGAGATCTGAAAATTCACTAGATTTTCTGATAACACTCAAGAGCAACTTGAGTTTTGGAATCGCTTGTTCCATGTTCACTATCTTTTATATCTTTTAGCCCTGACAAATATAGCCTTCCTGGAGACATAGTCTTTAATATTCGTTGTCCTTCCTCAAAAACGTGTAACTGCGCAGATTTTTGATTATGCGAATAAAACGAAAAATTAAAAAAAGTTTTCTCAAACTGAAAGATTTGCTGGGATATAATTTCTTCCTTTTATGTATTTATTCTGCAATGTAGAAAACTTTTTGAAAACTTTTAATGCTACTCGGCGTGGACTCTCAACATCTTAGGACTTACGGCAATTAATTCTTTTTCAATCTGCATTATGAATCACCCGAGAAATTCGTGGGATAATAAGACTTGGAAAATCTTTGCGCAGTATCGTTGCCCATCTAAGCAAAAAAATGTGTGTCATTTTCTATATTCAGAAGAACAGCAACGTACTTCAACTGGGTTTAGCTTTGTCCCGTCACTTTTTCGCATCGCTGCTCACCTGCGCGATTTCGAGCCTAATCTTCATCGCTTCCAAGAATAAAATCTAGCAGCTTATTAGGGCTTATTTAAGTAGAGGAAATGTACGAGGAGCGCATCTTAGCGCTTCCGCTTTCCACCACTTCAGTCACTTTCCTCTTGAAAAAGTGCGAAAAGTGTGGGTAATTATGGATATATGGAGCTAATCGCACTCCTCGACACGACTCCCGCAAATCTTTTTTAGCCTCTCCGAGAAACTTCGCTATTTGCAAGTTTTTGAACCATTTTTTCGCATTTCGTGGATGTGCTGTTCGGTTCCAATTCAAGTTTGTCGCTTTGGACTCACAGAGGATGTCAGAGGATTATAAAAAATGCGCGATCAAAACTTTATTCACTTCGGAATGGTGATTTAGATTTTCCTCCATAAGGTGGAGAAGTGAAAGCATTGAGCATACGTGTATGAAGCCTCTAGAAGGGCTATTGTACCGATGAGGGATAATGTGGCGCTATAAGTATCAATGGTGATATATCGCAATGCTATACTGACAAAGGGGGAGGGGACTTTCAAAAGTGAGGGAAATTTCCTGAAGAAAGAGTCATATATCATGCCAGTAACTTTTTGGTAATTCATAAGAGTGAATGTACAGTGGAGAATCAATTCCAAAATTTTACTATTTTCTTCTCAGATTTTAGTGTTACGAGCTTGCGAATTCAAGGGAGTCCCTAGAAAGAGACCAGACGGTCATTGATTGCTACATGTATACGTGGTGGACATGACTGCCGATCCATTTTTAAAAAATGCCCTGATTTACATGGTCGTAAATTGATTCTAGAATTCGATACAGCTGTACTTATTATACCATCCAGCAGTAATCAATTAGAACGAATCCTTTCGTTGTATTCACAAAAATCTAAAAGTTGGAAAATGGTTGAAAGGAAGGCTGAATGAAACTATGGAACCGCGTGAAACTTCGATTTGCCAAAGATCCATTGCTTCCCATTATAGATTATTATGATTCAAATGGTCGAGACGTATAAAACTTTCAGAGGCAGCCTTGCTTTATTTGTCTAAAAAATACTTTTGAGGCTTTTCTCTACAACTCGTGTTCAAATGGGAGATTTTGCAGAATTTTAGTCAAAAATGAAGCAAACGTATCTCTGCTTTCCTTCGATTGCTTTGCAGTATCGGTACTTATAGAACTTGAGTTTTTACT